ATTAAGAAATGCCTCGTGTGTGGAATGCCATCACTCTGCTCTGCAGAGAATTCTTAAATGTGTGATCGAAAGAGATATCTCTGTTCTATTGAGAGAGTTTAAATGAACTGGAGATGGGCCACTGATTCTGCCTACTGCAGGGTGAGCAACATCAGGCGAACGGTCAAATCCAGTCCTCTGGGGCATCCACAGGAGCATCACCTTTCCCCTTCCTCACTAGTGGTTTGGGGGCTTCCTGGCTTGTGTGCTGTCTCCCTCACCCCATTTTAAAAGACTGAAATGTCTTTCCGAAGGCTTGGTGATTGGCAGAAGTTTTTGTATTTCGGCCCTTTCATCCCATCCCATCTTAATTCACTCTCTGTTTCTCCCCACTTTCCAAAGGTAGATATATGTTTGGCCTGACCATCTCCTCCAAGACCATCTGTATACGTTTATCTGCTGTAAGCAGCACGGAACTATTTTGATTTTTTTGCTTTTTTCCAATTTTATTTTCTACCACGTTCTTCTTCCATTTAAGACAGTGGCAGGTAGAAATGTGTGGAGGTGGTCACATTGGTCCTGTCTCTGTTTCAGGGACTCTCAGGTGTCTGTCCTCTTGTGAATAGAATCAAACTTGTTTAGATAAGAATTTTGCTCTATTTGCAGTAATGCACATCTGTGCAAATCCCCACCTACCCAAACTGAAAAAAAAATCAATCTGCAAGTCTGCAGAATCTGTACAACTCAGAAAAGTACTAGTCCATGAAGGAATCTGCAGGCTGGATTCATAAACAACAGAACTCATGTGAATGCAGTGTGGCTTTCCAATATTCCTAGCAAATATGGTGGTGTTCCAGATGTGGCTGGACTCCAGAAACTGTCAGCATGGCTGAACCAGCACGACCGTTCATCAGGTGTGAAGTTCAGCAACATCCAGGTAGATGCAGATTCCTCACCTGTTTTAAGAAATGCATAAACAGTTTGCTTTTTTGTTCGATCAAGTGCTTTCAGGCACTGATTTCATTCCACACCAACTTTGTTTCTCACCTAAGAGGCCTTTACTGGCTGCCCTGCACTAGCGACAACAAGAGTAAGCAGAAGCTTCCAACAAATCGACAAAAGTTTTTTGAAGCCCTATTGATTAACAGCAGCAGCAACAAAAGGAGCCCCAACTTGCACTGAATGATAGTGCGCAAAAGAAGAAAACTGGGCGAAAGGAGCGACTCAGCATTGAGTTTTGGACTGAAGACTGTGAGCTCCATCCACTTCAGGGGCATTAAAGTAATTCTTGTGCTCAGTTCTTGGATTCGAAGCATTCTGGTCTTTTGTGCCAGGTTCTGGCTGGGGACTCTTGGAAGTTCTAACAACAACAAAGCAGATTTGTAACGTTTGAAGTGTTCCTACCCTAATATTACAAGATCTCTGAAAAGCTTCTTGGAACTACTATAAAGAGGCACACCAGCATCACTGAAGTCACATCAGAAGTGGCTAAGATTCTGCTTTTAACCTTCTGCACTCAGCCCATGGTGCTCCATTACTAGTCCCTAAGTTTTCTTCTCAGCTCATCTTAATTTTCCTCCATCTTTAACCATGGGGGTGGAGGTGGGGAAGAGTTAAATAGCATGGCTTAAGCAATGCTTAATCAAGGTGAAATGCAAAACTGCAAAAACAAGCAGTCTGATGTTGAAATGGCGATTACTAGACTTAAAAGGTTATCTGAAAACAGCTTTATGCAAGGAGAAAAGTCCACTAAGCTATTTGCAAATTGGAAAAATTAAGGCCTCTCCTGAAGACCAGGAAAGCAATGCAGCCATACTCAATTTGAGCAGAATGAGTGCTGTAACTGACAAAACAAACTCCCTATGGTGGGAACAGCCTCCCATGACAATTGTATGGTGACACCTTTCTTACGCCCCTGAATTCCCACTATAGCAGCCACCTCCTCCAGGAAGCCCTTGGCAAAACCCCCTCATTCCATGTGTTAACTTGGCCGAAAACCCAGACTAAGCACATGCAACCAAAGCACGTGGTGTTTCCCTGTTTTGCTCTCCCACTACCCTCTCTCCTGCCTCTGTTGTTTCTCCTGCTGCAAGTTTTAGATGGTAAGTTCTTCAGGACAGAAACCCATCCTCTTCTACACTGTACAGTGTAGCCCATAATACAAACCACCCCTTTTTTCGTTCATTGTTCAAGATATGTCATACCATCCAGACAAGTTAGACATGAATATTGCGATGCTGTATTGAAAGAGATGCTCAGGGCCTCAATATGCAGCCAATCGGGGCCCAAGAACCCTCTGGGAGCACTTAATGCTACATTACCTTGCTGCCATCTCTCTTATGTACTAAGATCAGGAGAAAAGGCACCATTCCAAGAGGGGATGAAAGTCAAGGAATTCTCAGTGGTGGCACCAGCAGCATGAAACCTTTTCCCAGAAACATTTGTCACACAAGTTCAGTTTTTTATCTTTTTAAAAAACAAAATAATGATAAACACTTCAAAAATTTATTTCAACAAACAGTTGAGAGCCTGGACTGAACTTTTTTTTTCTAAACTAAGCAACTGATCAACTGCTGAAAAAAACGGTTGGTGAGCATTGTGTTGCACCACCAGGGTAGTGATAAATTACAAATTCAAGAAGGGATTGGGACAGCTCATGGCATATTTGTAGCAGTTTTAAAGGGGAAAATATGTAATAATCCCATTCTTTCCTATTCCAGTAAAAATAGCTAAAATTGCATGGAATGAAGAGCAGGAATGAAGACATCATCTGCAGAAGCAGCTGCATAACTGATGGAGGGTCCCCACTCTGGCAAGTAAAAGACGCAATTATAAAATGTTCAGGTTTTACTAGGGTCATATTAAGTTTCTTATTATATCTTGCCTTTAGCCCTCTTGCAAGGAACCCAAGGTGGGTGGCTTACACTATCCTCTCCTACATTTTATTTATTTATTTTTCTATTTATCTTCCTGCCTTTTTCCTACAAAGGGCTCAAGGCAGCTTACATCATTCTCCTCCTCCATCTTATCCCCACAACAACAACCCTGTGAGGTAGGTTGGGCTGAGAGCCTGTGACTGGCCCAAAGTCACCCAGTTGGCTCCATGGCTGAGTGGGGACTCGAACCCGGACCGTCTGAGTCCCAGTCCCATGCTCTTAACCACTACACCACACTGGCTCTCACTGGCTTTTGTCCTCACAACAACCCTGTGAGGTAGGTAAACCAAGGGTCAATGAATGGTCCAAATGGGCTGGATTAATTCCCTTTGAATGTTCCACTTTGGCAAAAGACGTATTCTCTCCACTGGCCCATAAGCGTACATTAAAGCTGGGATGGGGGGGTGTCTTTTGCACTCTTCTGTTTAGATCTTTTACAATGCATTGAAATAATCAAGGTATATTTTCCCAAATGGATCTTTCACAGGTCAGTTTGAGGATCATAAAATTCAACACAAAGTCCCTCTCGGCAAAAGAAATGTGGCCAAACTTTGTCTCACTATTATCATTAATATGATTAATTTTATTTCTATAATCACCAACAGTTGCACCTCCCTTGGAAGAGCATTCCAAAGGCAAAGGCCTCCATTGATGACCTGAATGGTCTGATAGGGATATATGGAGACAGGCATTCTTTTAGGTATCCCAGCTTAGTTTTTTTCCATCTCTATTCCACTCTGTCTTCTATTTTCTCACTGATCTTAACTCCAGGTGTACCTGGAGTAGTCCAAGCTCAGGAAAGGACACTCAGGAACAATTGTGCCAACCGTCCAGATAAGGACCAGGATCCAACAGGGTCGCCAGCCGTATCAGTGGAAAAACCCCAAGGCCGCTGGGGCAAACCATCTTGGGTGGTCTGCTCTTGTCCAGAAGAGAGGGGGAAAGTCGCAGAAAGTCTTGTCCAGAAGAGGGGGGGGGGACAAGGTGCCCCACCTTCAGAGAACGATGCCCACGCCTGGATGAAAGCGCTGCGCCCTGCTACGTGTATGGGGCGGTCCATGCAGCCGTGCATAGCTGCGGTCCCATGCTTGTGATGGAGTCCATGAAATCCTAAGCCACCCGAACAGGGCGTCCTTTTGCAGGGATGTTAATTTCCCCAGGACCTGGGGCCTTCGGGCCTCTAGGACTCAAACTCTGATAAGTGCCAGCACTGACCTTAAAAGTCCCCCCTGCCGACCTCCAAGGAGGAGCCCACTTAGCCTCCTTCCCAAGCCGGCGCCCTGCAGGCGATACGGGACTACAACCCGGAGGGCGCCGGCTTGGAGGAACGGACAATTCTGCGCCGGGCAAGCCTGCACATGTACGGCCGAGCCCCGGAACGCGAGGCAAAACGGGAACTGGCGCGGTGGCCCGTCTGGTCCTTTCCAGACGACGAGCACGTAAAGCGGTGCAAATCCAGCCCGTCCGCCCGCCTGCCGCACGTCGCGCGGGTCTTTAACGAGAGGGCAGCGGGGAGAGTGCGCGCACGGTCGGGACAATTCGCCTCGCGGGCGGCAGAAGGCGCGGGCTTTGCCGGGGCGACCGAGAGGGCTCTCTGGCCGCAAAGCCGGCCGCTAACCGCTGCGCTACCGTCGGAGGAGAGACGGCGCTCCGCTCTCGCCCGGGGGCAACACTCCTGCCCCGTTGCGTCATGTTCTCCCGCTGCAGGAGCGCCCGGACGTAGTCGCCGAGCTGCTGCCAACGTTTCGCCCCCCCTCCGCCCCCTCCCCGGTTTTTGTTTTCAGACCAACTGCGCGCTGGCTCCGGCTGATGCAACGAGATTCCTCACCCGTGTCCTCCTCAGATCATCATAACAACCACCCTTTGCGCAACTCTGCTGCAACCCCACCGCTGCCCCCCTCCTCTTCATCTCCCCTAAAATGGCAAAGGACAGAAAAAGAACACCAAGCGGCACCGACCGGCTCGGAGTGACACGCGCTGAAGCCCACGGAGCGGTCCCTCCGCGCCGCGCACGCACACGCGTACCTGCACGCTCACACGACCCCGCAAAATCGCCTCGTGCAGAACGGCCCCGGTTCGCGTTACCTCTTTCCTCCTCAGTGTTCCGCAGCTCCCGCAGGGCGAGTAGCCTTGCACTCCGGAAGGGTCGCAGCTCTCGGGGTCGGAGACGATCATGCTGCTGCCGCCGCGGGTTGCCCGGGGCTGGGGCGAAGCAGGCGAGCAGAACCCGCGCGTTCTCCTCCGTCCCCCCGCGAAGTTCGGGAGAGTTTGGGCTCCTGAGGAGGATCGCGGCGCGGAGGAGTCGAGCGACCGGGCCGGGGGAGCAGCTCCCGGGCACGCCGGGCGCCCCGAGGGTTCCGCGGCAGAACGCCCGACAGCGGCCGCACTCCGGGACGCCGGCGCGCATCGGGTTCTGGGACGCGCGAGCCGCCTCCTGCGCGCCGGAGCCGAGCTGTCCTGCAAGCGGCTGCTCCCCGGAGCATTACATGGAAGCAAACCAATCGGGCGGACCAGCCTCCGAACAGCTGCTGGTTTCATACTGATGGCACGGGGAGGGCGGTGTCGACGAATCCGGAGCAGGCGTGCGCCCCGCGCGTAGCCAATCACGTCGGAGCAGGCGGGGCCTCCCCGGCCTGAGTCATCGCCCTCCCACCCATCTGCACCAACGAGGAGACGACGGGCGGGCTTGGGATCATGGGAAATGTAGTGTCCGCAGAGGTTGTTTGTCTCCTCGTTCCCCGGGAAAGGGGTGGAAAATGGGGTGGCTTGTTGCCTCTGTCAAGGAGGCGGACCCCTGGCCTCTTTGGAAAGCGCCCAATTCGTGCAGCCGCGGTGGAGGGATCTCAGCGGGCCCGCTTCGACCGCGGCATGAGGTCAGCTCGGTCCCTCTTTTAAGGATCACTTCGAAGGGGCTGGAAAACAGCACCATTTACAGCGCAAACGTGCCCTCTCTACTCAGGAGGAAGTCCCATTGACTGTAATGGGACGGCTCCCACGTAAGTCTGTATAGGATTGCGATCTTAGTTTGTAAGTGTGGAGCCAATCCTGTACATATTTACTTGGCTGTAAGGCCCATTTACGTCAGTGGGAATTACCCCCAAGTATACATGCATAGGATTTCAACCTTGCGAAGTATTGCCAAACGGCTTTGTAAATAGACCTGTGCAGGTCAATCCTGTACTTGTTTACTTGGGAGTAAGTTCCACTGCCCTAAAGGACAGTTTCTGTCCTTTGTGATATTCACTGTGTTTAGAATTAGAACCTTATTCACTTCTACCTGTCGATCTATTTATCAATCTATCACCGAGCCCTTTGCATTAAGCCTGCTGAGAGATCGTACGAAACTGGTAAAGTACGCATTTACACAAATTTAAATTATTCCATTAAGACTGCAATCCCATGAACTCCATGAGATTAGTTCAGGGTAGACCTACCTACTCTCCTGTAACAGCCGTTCCTTTTTCAACAGTGCAGCCTTATACATGTCTGTTCAGAAGTGTGTCCCAGTATATTTTCAATAGATTTATTCCCAATCTTAGAGACATTTCCTTGAGAAGCAATGGAGTTTACTTCTAAGTAAACACACACAGCTTCATACGGCCAGTCTCCTCAAGTTATCTGAAGAGGGAAGGAAATGTAACCCCAAATATATTTGGAAGTAAATGTCACTGAAATAAAATGTCTTGCTTCTGAGAACACAGAAGCAAAACATTCTTGCCACTGACCCAAGCAATGGATACGCTGACATCTCTGCGTCATTTGTACCAGGTTCAAAATCTGGGAAACAAGGATTAAAATAGCATTTGAAGCAAAGCAAAATGTTTTAAATTGTTTTTTCCCCAATTCTGTAGGGATTTTAAAGACAGTCAAGGTGAAATTTATGATATGGAACCTCATTTAAAATAGAAGCACTGCTGGTTACCTAATGAACAGCACAGTCCTATTCATATTACTAGAAGGATCCCTTTTTCAGTTCAGTGGTGCCTACAGACTAGAAGTGCATAGAATTGCACTAATACCCTTAGTGACTCAAGGAGAGCATTCATTTCGCTTAGTTTCAAGCAGCCAGAAATTTTTATAATGTAGGTATTCTGAGTAGCTAAGATACAAAGAACTTTAATTCCACTAGCACAGTGCAAGCCATCACTGAATCACAAAAACAACCTTATGGGCACAATCCTATTTATGGTTACACAAAAGAAATCAAGGGGTTAATGTATTCACTCTAGAGAGAAAGGCTCTCAGACAGAGACGATGCAAACCAAAAGATGTGGTTTTAAGAGTGTGGTCGAAGTGGACTGATGTACAACCTGGTGAAGGATTTGTGCCTAAACCGGATTATTTGACCTGTCATTGCTACCCGTGCCTTGGCCACATCCGGGCCTGACTACTGCACTCACACATTCTGTGTAGGGCTGCCCTTGTGAACTACCTCTGGTCTGGACGTTCATTATAGGAGACCACATTATTCCGTTGTTGTCCGATCTGCCTTGGATCCTGAGATCCCGGGCCTCTTATGGGCTGCCTTTGTTTTGCACAAATCCACTCACTTGCTGAGATCTTTAACAGAGGCTTTGCTTTGTGCCCCACATTCGAGACTGATAGCACCCAGATGGTGGAAACTCCTTGAGCCTGAAGACTCATGTGGCTCCCACCCTGCAGGCATTCCATGCACTGCAAAGATCATTGTATTCCAGTAGTCCCTGGGTTTTGAAGGCATGATTGCTGTCCTGGTAGTCTGATGTCTTAAGTCTTAACTTGCACTGGCTGAGCCTAGGAATCTTCATCATCATCATTTTCTATACTGCCCTATTTCTGAAGCTGTCTGGGTGCTTTGCAACAATAACTACAATACTATTCAATGTTTAAGTTCCATTGAGTTCATGCTACAGTGTCTGTATTACGCAGCACTTAAGTCCCTCCGAATTTGATGGGAGTGATCCCTAAGTCAGTGTATATGTAAGATTGTCACTGTATGCACTAAGGAAGCCTGGCCTGGCCTGGGACCACAATACTTGCCAGAGCACCTCTCCCAACAGCGGTCTGCTTCGACACCATGCTCAGCATCTGGCGCTTTTCTCCGAGGGCTGACTCCAAGGGAGGCTACAAGGGCGGCAAGAAGGGCTTTCTCTGTGGTGGCCCCACAACTGTGAAATGACCTTCCCACTGTGGCCTGCCTGTCATCTTTGTGGTGCTGGGTAAAGAAGGCCTTCATGAGGAAACCTTTAAATGCATGCTTGGTCACCCATGGGCTTAGGGATTTACCTCTCCCAGGTGTTTTTAATTAACAGGGTTGTTCTTCACTGTATATATTTTTAGCCATTTTTAATTTGTTAAAGTTTCTTTGGTAGATCTTATGTTTATTATGTTTAATGGTACTGTTTTTATGCATTGTTATACACTACTGAGAAATTTTGGGCAGTGGGGCAGTTAAATAAATTAATGGTGGTAGCTGCAGGCTCCACTGAACACAGTAAGACTTACTCCTGCATAACTAGGCAAAGGACTGATCTCCAACTATTCTGGCTCAGCTACAACTGCCGTTAGGGCTATGGACAGTGTCTGCTTTAAACATCAGGAGCTGATTGTCTTCCCATATTTCACTGGTATGACTAAGCCGGGAACAGAAATTTTCTGTGAGTAAGGAACAACATAGGTGTCTATTCTTCTGTTGATTTTCTGAGATGAGTTAAGCAAACACAGACTGAGCAAGTGGCGCTCCGGTTTCTGGAATGTGCAAAACAACTGCAGTGGATGAAAAACAACAAGGAAGCAGGGAAGATTAGCACTATTCAAATAATATTTCTTCCTTGAAGGCTCAAAACACTGATCCAAAATCCTATATTTGCCATCAAGGTAAACAAGGCTGAAAAGGCACTTCTAAGTCTACTCATAAACAATGTTGCTTCACTAATAAAACTATTTCTGAGTCATCTTTTGGCCAAACAGTGGCCCTCAAGGCAACAAACATTTGAAGGAGGACATGGACAAGTTGGAGCATATCCAGAGAAGAACAATCAGGACGGTGAGAGAGTCGGGTAAGCCAGCCCAGTGAGCAATGGTTGAAATAGCTGGGTAAGTTTAGCCCAGAGAAGGGGTGATTTAGAGGAGAGAGGAGAACTATCTTCAGATATCTGCAAGGCTGGCCTGCAGAAGATGAAAGATTGTTCCTTGTTGTGCTCAAAAGCAGAATTGGAACCAACTCCAAGAAAGTGCAAGGAAGCAATTTTGGCTAGCCGTTAGGACAAGCATTCTAACAGAGGCGAGGGCAACAGATTGCCCCAGGAGGCAGTGGCGGGGGTATTTAAGCACAGGAGGGATGGCCCATCTGTCAGGGATGCTGTAGCTGCGCTCTGCACTGGAGCTGGACCAGATGCTTTCTTCAGAGGCTTGCAACTCTGATTCTATGAAAAATTTTAAAACAATAACATATAAACAAAGGACAGACATCTTTCGAAACAGAAAGATGAGTTGGTAACTTTTAAAAGCATTCAAAGACTGAGTTTTATTGGCATGCCTCAAAATGAATAATGTTGGAGCCGGTCTAATCCTCCTAGGAAAGGAGTTCCCCAGTTGGCAAGTTACCACAGAAAAGATCTTGTTCTGTGTTCTGATCTGAGTGACCTGGTGTGAGGCTCTAAATCAGATAATGAGGAAACATCAAATGGACTGCAAAGTCAGATCTTTCAGGCTGCTTCTCCCCAAGCAGTCGGCAGCTTTATAGGTAAGGACCAACAGCTTCAAATGCATCCAGAAACAAATTGGAAGCAGATGTGGCTGAGCAGGATCAGTGTAATATGGTCAACAACATGCGCACAGCAATCCGGCTGCTGCATTTTGCACAAACTATAGTTCCTGGACTCTCTTTAAGGGCACCCCAAGCAAAGCAAATTGCAGTAGTCTAAACCGGATAGTTCCTGCCACCCCAGCAAGGACTGCAAACAAGGAAATCATTCTGTTATCTCCGCTCTTCTTTGTGGTGTACAGTCACATATTTTCCTCTGGAGTTTTTCAGGAATAGCCCATACTTCACTTTCCCCAGGATTGTCTGCTATTCTTGTGTGTGAGTATGGCTAGGTCAGGCAGCAAAGATGCACAAGTTGACTTGAACGTAAGCCCCACCGTATAAAGCAAACCGGATTTACTTCCCTATAAACATGGGGGAGCTGGCCCACACCTCTCCTGAAGTGCCACGGTCTGGTTTGGGTTTTTTTAAACCAGGTGTTATTTTCTTTTAAATCCAGTTTAAAACAAACACGTCCTCATGGTGCGGTTTCAGCTTTGAATTCATTTCAGCCTGAGA